TGTGTGTGTGTGTGTGTGTGTGTGTGTGTGTGTGCGCGCGCGCGCGTTTGTGTGTGTAAATTTGGATATGGATGTAAATATGTGTTTGCGTCACTCACAATAACGGCCTCTTCGGGGTTTTTTTATATTTTTTAACTTTTTTCTTATTTTATACTTTTTTGCTACAGTATATAAATGCTTAACCCGCATTGCACATATCTCATTAAATTGAACATCACGCCCAACATCCAATGCACACGTAGACCTATTATTCAAAATTGAGCGAAAGTCGGAAAACATTTAGTGACACCCTAGCCATTTCAAGGATCAGAAAGTACATGACAGAAGGCACAAAGAGTTATAATGCCTCAAATCAACCAACAGCCTGCATTCAAACGCCCTACAGCACATTATCAACCCAATGACGCACTTGGGTGCCTGTGTAAAGAACGACATAAAGGAGCAAAAGTTATTAAAATGGATTCTATTACAGAAAGATTCAAGCTCTTCTGGGCTTTGTGCTCCGTGTCACGATTCTAATGCGCACGCAAATCTAAATCCTTATCTCGAGACTCATCTATAAGTTACCTAAGGAGACTAACATCATGCTCAATATTTATGCCTGTTTGAATATTAATTATAAGTACACCTGCACCTGCGAAAACGTCGTGAATTGGAGGACTGGTCGGAGGGCTGATAAAGTTACATTCTTTCTTGTGACTTACCAGATACGACATACCAGATGATACGGAGTAACAGTACTATCTGTTAAAGCAATGTCAAACACAAAATAGCAAAATAGAAATAACAGACAAAATAATATTTTCTATAGCGCTCGGCGTGATAAAGAAATGGTGCAAAGATGTGTTTCTACATGTGTAACACACGACAATATAATGATGGTAATTACAACTGATTGATTTCTGAAAATATTGCACTTCTCGTGCGTCTTAGCGATACTTACATAAATATGAATATGGAAACATAAAACGATAGAGATATTTTAAGAGAATCGTTTTCATTCTTGTTGCTGTTAGTAACTTTAATCACAATTTGTACTTGTTGCAAATGTCTAAGTTTTTAGATTAAAGTTAGTCTACTTCGACCCAGGAGTTATCAGTAGTTATCTAATTGAATGCACTCGTTCTAATCACAAGAATGTCGAAACTTGTACCTAAGACCAATAATAATATGCACCTGATATAATTACTGCCTTACCTTGGATTAGTGATGTATAAATCACCACTTGTTAAAGCTGCACAACACAAGAGGAACCCCAGCGTCTTCATGCTTCTTGATCAGTCAACGTGACGATCAATTTTAAAGGTTACGAAATTGACCCAGTTGGTCCATTTAAGTAGTTCCCATCACTCCCGCATTTCTTCTTCGCAAGGAAATCTAGTCCATCGCGGTTATTGAATATTCAGATGATCTTTATTTATTATGTTTTGGACAGTCCTGATCACTGACGGTTCTCCTTCGCAAAGAAAACGAGTACACTGGGACATTTTTTTTTATTAAAAGACGTCCAATCAAGAAGATGGTTTTCTTTAAGCTAGATTGTGATTTTTGCCAGAGGCGACTCAGTTGATCCCTGCCCGTCACTTGATCGGAATAAAATGAGAAACGTTACACTGTCTTTTGCAGATGGGGGTCTTATCTTAAGACCAATTGATTGTACGCATTTAAAGAACTTCGACAAATAGACTTTATTTGACATTTGTTGTTTGTTTTTTGGCCTCCGTGATGGCCAAAGTAATATCAGACATTCCTTTCGATTGTCAAAGAACAATGCAGATTGATTTCCCAGGGTATTTTTCTTTTTCAGATATCTTAATTTAAAAATTGGGTTTTCAATTTTAGCGGAGTCTTCGAGCTAAGACGCTTGTCACGAGGCTTCTTATAATGAGACAAAAACAATTTAGGCGTTTTGGGCTGGACACTAAAACAGCACTCCCCAATATCCAAATCTCATAACTGGACAAAATACAAGTATCTCAAATATACATCTTCAAAAATAAAAATAAAAATAATAACGGAATTTTCAAGTTAGACAGGTATTCAGCAGGGAATAAAGTGATGCCGGATTTTTATTAAATATAATTCTTTAAATATTTAAAATATTTATTCTAATATAGCTTTAATTTATTGCGCTGTTCTGGGTTGACCTCTGCGCTAGTGCAGTGTCCTCTACTTCCCTACAGCATGAAACAAATCATCAGCCATGAAGGTTACTCATTACGGTTGACCAGAGAGCTGGAATTTTTCACTTTCACCTCGCCAACACCTGCTTGTTCTGTCTTCAAAGTACTCTCTTTCATAGGTTATCAATCTCCTCATTCTTTCTGATAAGCACCGTGGGCGACCAGTTTAACCTTGGGTGAATAAACGTTTTATCTATCCAAGACTTATCAGCATCTCGCTTTGGTCTTTTCTATTTCACACCCCTTACACTGACGGCTCACCGAATCGCTTCAAAAGTAAACCCAGCATCTGTGCTACATGTACTTGATACAGTATGTCGTCACTCAACGCACATATTATTTTAAGTGTAATGTCTCAGAGGCGAAGAAGGGTCCCAAAACATATAGATCACGAAAAAAACTACTAATTTTAAAAAAATCGTAGATCGCGTCATGCAGAAAATACATGCATAGTGTACAATATTTGTACACTGTTGGCCGATAATATGCGATGCTTATTTTTCTAATTTCTACTGACTTTTTCTGAAAAAAAAAAGTGTTTGTAAGTCAAACTATTTTTATGAAAATTATGTATTTTTCGTTAAGAAATGGTTGACATTATTTTAAACGTACATAATATTATACTTTGCACATAACACACAACAATTAAAATCACGTACAGGTTCACTTATATTACTAAGCTACCTTCATATAAAGTTTGTGCGAAGTTTTAAAGTTCTGGTTTCTCCCAATTATTGAGCCTCGTTTCTCTTCTGTGACACAAATCTCCACGTCAATATTTTTCGTCCAAATTAAAAAGTGAAGTTTCAACCAGTATGGTTTAAGCACAACGCATTAGAGCCACATAGCTACCACGTGTGCTTCAATGCGTTTACTGGGACCTTGAAGTGAGAGAAAATATGTTTTAAAAAACATTTAGTCAACGTCTCAGTTAAGTCCAACGATCTCCAGCTATTCTGTGATTAGACTAAAAGCAGTCGCAACATGCATCACATGCACTTTGTTGGCCATTAAAGAGATTAGTGAGATCAAATAAAGTCTAAAATTAAAAATCTGATGAAAAAAATTTAAATATGCGTATCAATACCATTGCTAGATGTTAAACGCTGCACGCAAATACCATTGCTAATACCATTGACCATATGCATATACGCTTTACGTATTAAGAGCCAAACGCTGGCCGCAAATGCCACTGCTAGAGGCTATACGCTGTACGTATCAATACTATTGTTTGCAACATTTTCTCCCTTCCTCACACAAACTGTCGTGGCTCCCATTGCGCCGTTATCTTTGCACAATGTGGCTGTGAGAGGCTGGGATTGCGTTAGGTGCGATTCTGACGATTGTGATTGCGTTGTGGTTGTGACGTTATCCTTGCAATTTGCGGTCGTCAATGGCACTATAGATTGCAACTGAAGAAGGCCGGCAGATAAGCCTGAAAAGGACAGCACATGATCATAGGATGTATGCAATATATCGGCCTTTACTATTCATTTATGCTTCATCAGGTCGGTGATGTCAAAAAAAAAATTAAAATCATAAATAAAATAGATATCAATTTGACGCATATCATGACTGTCAATTGCAATTACACATCTTCCACGAAGAGAAAACATATTTCTGCACAGATTGAAGTAATTACTCTTTGCATATATATTTCTGACACGTTAGTAAGTGATGTGTCATCCAACAAGATGCAGGGTAGAGATGATAATAAAGATTGTGTGAGTAATTGGAGAATACTAGAGGTTAGAAAGTACTTAAATTTTGAGATAAAAATCACAATGACTAATGTTGCCTTACAAGAAGTCCATAATATGCTAGCTCTATATATAGGACCTACAGGTACACCGTTTAACGGCGCCATGTGGGTTTCGTTTATATGTTATCAATTACATTAGATAAAACATTTTAACACTCGCAACGATGGTTCCTATATTTTGTTTAAAATTATATTAAAAGTAGATTTCATAGATAAAGGATGAGAAGGTGAATTACTGTCGAAAAAAAAATTGATCACGTTTTCCAAATATCAACCATATCTAGCGACGTTTATATCGTCCTCTTCATCCAAAAATCCAAATAAAGTATTCTATCTATTGTGGTTATTTTAAGATTTATAATTCGCATTCTTTCCCTTTATAACCTGTGTCTTTCTCTAGCTACTTCTCGCATATCAATTATAGTAGCGGATTCAGGATATAATGAAGGGGGTGTTCCTCTCACGCACCCACACCCACCGCCATCCCAATTAACCTGGACCTGCCTTTGGGGAGGAATATCTTCGTTAGTCCGCATTCACATCGAGTGGAGCCATGGCTCTACAAAGCCACGAACTAAATATGGCGGACGTACATGAAAGGAAAACCGCCTAATCTTTTAATAGTCTCTCTGCCTCTCACACGCCTCCCCATG